GTGTTGTGGTTTATTGTCTGCACCAAAACGCTAATGAAAGTTTGAAAACGTTAATGAACTTACGCAAACATATTCATGATTGTCAAAATCAATGCTAAATTTCTTAATGAACGTTCCATCGCACTATTGAGACTCCGTTCGCCTTATTGTATGCCTGTTCGCTCTAATGACAATGCTTCTTCGCTTCAATGAATATTCCTTTGCGGTTAATGAACAGCAAATGGTGTAATAACAAATAGTCTGCTCGTCATTTTATGGTAACGATTTAATGAAAATTAGTCTGCTCGTCATTTTATGGTAGCGATTTAATAAACAATAGTCTGCTCGTCATTTTATGGCAGCGATTTAATAAACAATAGTCTGCTCGTCATTTTATGGTAACGATTTAAAAAACAATAGTCTGCTCGTCATTTTATGGTATCGATTTAATAAACAATAGTCTGCTCGTCATTTTATGGTATCGATTTAATAAACAATAGATGTGCTCGTCTTTTTAATGATGAATACTTAATATACTCGTCCTACTCGTCCAAAACTCTTGCCTAACAATAAACTCATGACGTCAATTGGTCGTCATGGCAACTTCAAGCAATGCCWGCTCGTCATTTTATGCTAATATGTGATGAATAATTAATGTGCTCGTCCTTCTCGTCCTTTTGCTCGTCAAAAATCCGGATCGTGCGGTGCGGCCTATGTTACTTTTATTAGGGTAATGCGATCTTGCATTTTTTTCTAAAAATTGGTTAACCACAGACAAAGAGAATGGAATGTTGTGCTCGGGTAAGCAGCCGCTACTTAGGGGAGTGAGCGTGGCGTGACGACACTAATAGCGGCTGCGTAGGAGACTATGTTCATACGTGAAAATWATATTTATGAAAACCAGTATTTTTAGCCACACTTGCTTTGGTTCATTGTGCACGGTCAGTATCACGTGATAGTACGGTTAAACCTCAAGCGCAAAACAATAGCTTTGTTCTATGGAGTTTCCAAACCATTCCGTCCCATTAAACATCTCTATTTATTTTGTCTGTTTTATTATAACTAGTTGACGTGCAAAGCGAAAGAAAACCTACTCTTGTCATGAACAAGGTATTTACAATGCTAAAACGTTGGTCGTTGACAGGAGGGAGGGGTCTCTCTATCGTTTCCGGCCTTGCATTTCAGCGTTGTTTCCATTCGTGCCGTCACATAGCAACCAATGGATTGCTTTGAGATTATTGTTCTTGTTGATATAAGTAAAAAGCCATAGCAGTTGAAAATTGAACCAAAAGAAAGGCTAAGTTACAGATAGAAAAGCTATTAAATGCTAATTCCTCCACCTATATAGTTCTTTTATAGTCCTCTGTAATCTGATTTGTATTTTCATCTAACCATTTGTTGATATATGATTTTATTTATCGCGGGACGTTTCGACGACCTGTCATTTTTGTCGCGGGTAGGAAATTTGTCTTTTATGTGAATAATATTTTTTTTCGTTAGAAAGATAGAGAATTGTTAACTCACACTAGGGCATTTGATTAAATGATAATTTGGCTTTAAGAATCTGGCAGATTTATGATCGTTGTTCTTCGAGGTATCCGTAGAATAACTCGTAAAACACATTCTACCATAATTAGATTTTTTATTGATTGCAAAATCAAGAAAGAAAACCGTCGTAATAAGAAAAGTTTGACCCTTTTAGCCGTCATCTATCCGTCTTCAAACTCGGCACCATTTCGAAAATCAAAGAGCTGGAACGTTAAGTCACGAATGTAAACAACCTTGTTACAGCAACTTGCCTAGAGATACCCTCTCCTTCATGGTCATTGATTAGGGTGCATACCATTTAGCGGTGAAAAAGTTAAATAACAATGATGTACAAATTAGTACAAAGTTTTGTTGG